TATATAGCACTAGTACTAGTAATATATATAGAATACATTTAATTTAAACTTACTATTGCGAGATTTTTGCTCAGAAAAACTAAATACAGCTGAATATAGTCTCACCCGAGAGCGGAAATATCACTGATTACACCAACATTAAAAACACTCTGATTTTATGCAGTTATAGCATAGAAAAATGGATTTGACCACATCATACCAGCAATAAATTTTATCGTATGCCGACTCTCAAAATCACAAATGGCGCCTTCAAACCAAGTGCATAATTATAAAACAAAAGGGCGTGCAATTCTGTGTGGTAAATATTATTGAGTTTTTATGTCAATAATTCGGAGCACTTTCTGTCATTGTCATTCCCGTGTTACTATCTGACTGGTAATCCACAAGCTTCTCTAATAACAGACTTTACGCGGCATTAGTACTATATTCCTGTTACGCTAGTATGCACGTCCGCGTTTACACTCTGACCTGATTTCTGCGGTGCGACTATATGCATTACTGCACCGTGATAGATGTCTCGCGCTACCGCGAGAAAGTCCGAGAGATGGCAAACATAAACAGGACGCAAAATTGTAATCGTCCATGATTTGGTGAATACGAAGGTTCTAAGACATTTTATCGTTACTCTAGACAATTGCTGTTACTCAAGCAATAACGGTAGGTATCATGAAAGTAGGGAAAACACTGGAAAACTCTCGCAATAGTTACTTTAATATAATATAAATATATAATATGATATAATATAATATAATATATATATTATATAGTATTATGTAGTATAATATAATATAGTACACACGAACGCATGCACGCACACACACACACACACCCACACACGCACGCATGCACACACACGCACGCACGCACACATGCACACACACACACACATACCCACGCACGCACGCATGCATACGCACGCACACATGCACGCATGCACACACGCACGCACACACGCACACAAACACACACGCACGCGCACGCACGCACGCACACACACGCGGCGGAGGGGAGGGCCCACCTTCTGGGGGCGGGGCGGCCACGGAATCGCGGGGAGGGCGACCGGCGGGGGCGGTCCCAATCACGGTGCCCTCTGCTGGGAGGTTCCGGCTCCGGACGCTTCTCCTGCGAGACAAACAAGTGTCAGTGTGATGAGACTGTGCTGCCATCTATAGGTTGTGAAATAAAACATTTGCTCATCTGGTTGGAAACACGCTACATCTATCGATCTCACTCTATCTGAATACGTTACAAGATTAGTAAGGAGACCTTCTATTCACGCCGAACAAGTTTCCATCGCAGTTAACATACAAACATCTGATGAACATCTAACATCACAAACACTGCTACTGACCAGAATGCTGTACTGACACACACAGTCACAGTCCGTCCGTCATCCATCCACCCATCCATCCATCCATCCACCCATCTATCTCTCTCTCTCTCTCTCTCTCTCTCTCTCTCTATCGCTCTCTCTCTCGCTCTATATATATATATGTGTATATGACCACACCATCATAACAACGACCACAGTCACACTGGATGCTGCGCGGTTACCGTGGCAACGCCCCTGCGTACCTTCACCACCTCCTCCTCTTCCTCCTCGTCAGACTCCATGTCAAGGTCATCCTCCAGCGCACTGACTCGCATCTCCAGCTGCTCTGTCTCCTCCAGGATCTGTCGCTTCTGAAACCCGGCCAATGAACCAATCAATCAATCAATCAATCAGTCAATCAATTAGGAGCCATTGTCATAAACACCGTAAATAGTTCCAAATCGTGATAAGAACAGTAACAGTAACAATAAGGACAACGACACAAACAATAACAACAGTGACAATGACAACAAGGACAACGACAATAACAACACTACAGGGTTCATAGTAGTAAGACACATGTTGAAATAAGGACTTATAATACTCTTTCTGGAGGCCAAAATAAGACTTTTTTACGCGATTTCTGATAGATCACCGACTATTAAAGTACACTAATAATATTTATATAAAGCCGTTTCGCCGAAATTCAACACAGAAAATGTTGAAAAATGATCCTTTAGCAAAAAATAAGGACTATTAAGTACTTTTCTAAGATTTCACCAAAAATAAGTACTATTAAGGGCCCTTATTTTATTTTTGGCAAAATAAGTACTTATAAGACTTTGGAAGACCCACTACGAACCCTGCACTAGGGACGACGACAACAACAATAACAACAACTATGACATCATCACCACAAAAAATAACAATAACAACCACAACAACAACAACTATGATATCATCACCACAAAAAATAACAACAACAACAACAACAACAACAACGACAACTCGTCACCTCACCTGTATATGAGGGAGTATTACGTCACATGACCTGTCCTCTCGCAGCAGTTCATCTATGAATTCATCCACGTGCAGCAACTCAAACTCTGCAAAGACGCAACCCGACGAAAAAAAAACAATCAACCAACCCCCGGAGTCAGACTAACAAGGCTGCGTGCAAAATGGAAATGAGAGATACTCAATCAAACGAGATACAAGAATTATTGTTCCATTTCGGGTGCAATAACGGTCTGCTTGAACAATGCTGTCGAGTGCATGGAAGAGAGACGTAATCAACGTGATACAAGAATTATTGTTCCAGTTGCAATGACGTGCACGAGTCGACCCTTCTGCTTGAACCGACTCCGCTGCTTACTAGCAGCAGATTACAAAGACGCGCTATGATTGGCTGCTGCTGCAGCACACCAATAAGTGTGCGTGCATTTAATTTTACCAGACGCATGCATGCAATAAATGATAATTAAAGACAACCGTACGCTCGTTACGCGCACACACGATCTGATCAAACTTTGCAGACTCTCTCGTGGACCGCGCCCCTGGGTGCTTCAGGTGCGAAAACACACGACGGAAAGGGCAAAAAGACAGTAGCACGTCTAGGGATTGGTCAAACGCAGTCAGGCCACCCTTATTGTTTGTTTCCCCTTTACCTACTCGCCTCTCAGGGTACCGAGTAGGAAGGTAGGTGAAAAATCTTTTTTATTTTGTTTTGACAAGATGTGTTTGTTTTTGTTTTTTTGGCGAAACGAAATAATTTTTGTTTTGTTTTAATCGGCCAATAAAATGTGTCGAGTAGCGGCGTTTTGGCGAGTCGGTCGGTAAAGGGGAAACAAGCAATATGTTATCTTATGCCTCACAATCGGGGGATGTTCTGTCTCTGCTTCGCTTACCTCCCTGTCTGTTCTGGCGTCTCATCTTCCTGTAGTCGTTCAGCAGCGGTTCCAGATACTTGAAGACGTCCAGAGAGGATCCAGTCAATCTCATGTAGACTGCCCCCAGAGCTCGAACGTATCTGCCACGGGAGACAGGTCATGTGAGTGCGATGGTGAACGATGGGGCAACGCAAACCCACGCACGCGACACACACACTCAAAGTGACGCATTACAGTTTATATCTCACTCAGTCCTCTATTTTATATCTCACTCAGTCCTTTATTTTATATCTCACTCAGTCCTTTATTTTATATATCACTCAAAGTCTACTATGCCAGTTTCTATCCCACTCAAAGTCTTCCATTCAAATTTATATCTCACTCAACGTCTTCTATTCCAGTTTATATCTCGTGCTCAGTCTCCTATTCCAGTGTATATCCCACTCAGTCGCCTATTCCAGTTTATACCTTACTCAGTTTCCTATTCCTGTTTATATCATACGTGAACTCTCGCGTTCAGTATTAATGAACTAGCTCTAGCAGTAGCACACTACAGCATTACACTACAGGGTGCGAAATTAACGGGAGTCCGGAGTCAAATACTCCCCGATTTACTGTCGGACTTCCTGATTTGACATATGCAGGAGTCCGTGTGACTCCCTGAAAATGCTGCTATACTAAGTAACAAATTTGTTTCCTGAGCACGGCCTCACGGAATTACCGTATTTTTTTCAGCAAATGTCCAAAGAAAATTTGGCAGACGTGCATCGCATGAATCTTCAAAAAAGCACATGTTGTATGCGTTATTGTTGTTGTGCTTTAGTTTTGATCTTCAGACTACGGACTCCCTCATTTTGCTACGGACTCCCTCTTTTTGAGGGCAGGTAGTCCGTTGGACTCCCTTGTTCAAAAGTTAATTTCTAACCCTGAACAATCTAACACCATTGTTATACTATCACATGACAAGGCAGGAACACACTTGTCTAGCGCTAAATATTGTGATACTGTAATAATGCAGCTACACGCGATCGCGGCGGCGTTGCCGCGACGACGCCGCGAACGAACGGAAGAACACACTTGAAGTCCTCGTTCTTGATGAATTCGATGATGATGTCCTTCTCCGGCTGAATCTGCAGCATCTTCAGCAGGAGGCAGAGGAACGGCGTCGGCTTGATGTTGCCGCCGAACACGCCGCCGACGTAACGCAGCTCCATCGCCTTGTCAACGAGAAGCTCGGCTGCAATTAATTAATTAGTTGAATAATTAGCGGATTTATATTTGACGATGGTACGTGATTTTTTTCTCTTCGTAAAAAAGACCGTATTAAGTACGTGTACTTGTACATGAATTACAAGCAATAGATTTAATAATAACTATAATAATAACAACAACAAACAACAAAACAACAACAATAATAATAACAACTAGCTATTACCCGTCCTCCAGACGGGTTTGAGTGGGGTCTGATTTGAGGATGGCGGTTTAACCATTTATCTCTCACTTTTAGTTGAGGATGTATTTACAGTAAACGAAAAATACTGATATTTAGACTCGAGTCATATATCAATATTTTACTTTAAAATTACCTACAATTTTTCAAAAAAAGGGAAATGGGGTGATTTCATAGTACAATTTCCCTTATTTAGATATTATTTTTGAAAATATCATTCTGGTTAGAAGCATCATTAATAAGTCAAATTCTTAAAAAAAAAAAATGCATTGAGTAGTTTTGAAGATCTATTTTCTTGAAAGTCAGTGGACGGCGGCGGGCAGGGTTACACCTCCCGTTGTCAAATATTTGCACACACGCGCGCACACACACACATCACACACACGCGCGCACGCACGCACGCACACACCGCATTCACACACACACGGCGCGCACACACACACGCACATTCACACGCACACACAGGCATACATACATACATACATACATACATACATACACGCGCACACGCACACGCACACACGCACACACACATACACATACACATACACACAACTGAAGCTGTCTCTCGTTGGGGTTTCTCTTAAATTTTTGGCTCACAGCTGTGCGCGGCAGTGCTTGGTTGTTTATACACCGCAGCCGCAATGGCTTTGGTGTGTGCGTGTGCGTGCGTGCGTGCGTTTAGTGTTGCTTGCTATGCTAGGTGAAAACTCCACCTAATTAAATGCTTATTATTACACCTTTAATCTACATTTAGTATAGCTATATTATCATTAAAACCCGTGAGAAAACACATTAATAGTTTAACACAATTTCAAAAGGTTATGGTATAGGCCCTATATAGTGTGGTGTGTGTGTGCTCTTAGACAATCGAAACGGCGT